TTACGTTCTAATCAAACAGTAATTCCAGGTTTACGTTCTAATCAGACAGTTATTCCAGGTTTACGTTCTAATCAAACAGTAATTCCAGGTTTACGTTCTAATCAGTCAGTAATTCCAGGTTTACGTTCTAATCAGACAGTAATTCCAGGTTTACGTTCTTAACAGACAGTAAATCAGACAGTAATTCCAGGTTTACGTTCTAATCAGACAGTAATTCAAGTTCTTTTCAGAAAATAAATACTGTAACATTTTATATTCAATCCGAACGTTCAATTTTGATCAGCAGTTAAATAAATAATTGAAAGTTTACTTTCTAATGTTAATTATATAATTTTAATCCCATTAATTACTCGCAAATCAAAGTTAAAACGATAGTTATTACAGAGTGTACATTCAACTTTGAATTAATGAATTGGAGTTATATTTAATATGTATACCATATTTTGCACAACATTAAGTACACTAATGTGGTAGCGTACCAACATCAGTAAAAGATTCTCGAAGGGACGTAAAAGGAAATAAACAATAAATATAAATAAGACAGGATAAGTAACACAAAACTCATGAGTACTTACGGCCAATGACACTGAATGTATAATGCAATTGTTGGACTTTCATAAGCAATTCTGTGAAAAACATATGTTTTCATAATTAATCGATACAGTTCTTATTCTTGTTTGGTAGAAAATATTAAACACCAAAAGACTCACTCACTAAATGCTGTCTAATTTGTGAAGTTTAAGATTACCCAGATGATAAATCTTTCAACCCAGTTTAATATTCTTTGGTGTTTGGTGGAGTCTCGATCGATATCTAATGTCTATTGAGTGAGAACAGACAAGAGGCAGTTTACATGATAAGCTGAGTCAGGTGTATCATCAAAGAGGACATCTGGAAATCGAACAAGTAAGAACATTTTATATATAATGTACAAATTTAAAAAGAAATTACAATAAAATAAACATGATGTAAGTTTTGATACTTCCAATGCTTTGCTGCAAGTCCACATCAGGTTTGGTGCTTTCAGCTAATGTAGGGAACACTTTTGCAGTTTAAAAATCCAAGCACAGTTTACCAAGGATAAAGAAAAGATAGCTTTTTTTTTCTTAATTCAAGCACTTTTTGTTTGACTTTTTACAAGATAATGAAAAATTATGGAATAGTGAATTTGGGATAAAGGGATCTTTAAAGCTTTCCTCCTTATCTAGCTCCACTGAAATGTGGTACCACTCCTTCGTGGTAAAGGCTTACATATGTAGTGCGAGTTCTCTTGTTTACACAATGAAAAATATGGCGAAGATGAATTATAGTGTTTTAAAATGCGACCAAGAAATACATTAAAACACTTCTTATAAGAAATATCTGTATAGACTACAAATAATTCATTTAATCGAAATATTTTTAGCCACTTGTAGTAAAATTCGACTTTATTGGTATTGTGACCGCAGAGACAAATATGCCGAGATTTGTCAAAATAAGGGGAAAACATTGTTATATTGTAAACTGTTTATTTAAATTGTAATTATAATGCTGGCAATACGAGAGTGTGATTCCCTAATGTAGATAGCACAGCGCAACATTGCTATCTAGTTGTTTTTATTTCATTAGTTTATGTCTTTGTACATGTTCCATGTTCCTTTCTATTTTGTTTTAGTTGTTGCCCTCTAAAACACATAACAGGAAATGTCTTTAACCTTAGAAAATGTCTATTAAAGATACAACTATGATATAATATAAAATGTTTATAAATGTGCAGTTGTTAGTGAACGAAAGGAAAGAAAAAAATGTTTTTGAAACATTGATGTTCCCAAATGGCAGCTCATGGTGAAGGTTAAACTCTTTTCAAATGGAAGTCGAACTCCAAAGTCAAGACTCAAGAGAATAAAAGAAAATCTTTGTTCCCAAAGAGAGGACTTGTTTATGAAATATACATGGTAAAATATGAAAGCCCTTGCAGCAACTATTCAAAATTTATTGTCAAGGTTAAAAATTTTCAAAAGTAAATCAAAATTCTAGCTCAGGGTCATGAGGTAAAAATATTAAGACTTAAGGAAAGGTCTTGTCACAAAGAATACGCTTGTGAAATATGAAATCCTTGCACCAAGACTTTAAAAGTTAGGCGCAGGTCAAGGATTTACAAAAGTAGGTCAAATTCCAAAGTCAAAAGATAAACAAGGGGATGACTTATCAAAAGGAACAAAATGTGAAGTATGAAGCCCTGGAACAAATAGTTCAAAAGTTATGGCAAAGGTTAAAGTTTTGTAACATTTTGCAAAAGTGAACCAAACTCCAAGGTCAAGGTCAAGAGGTCAAATATGCTGGTACCTAAAGAAAGGTCTTATCACAAGAAAAACACATGTGAAATTTTAAAGTCATAGTTCCAACCGATCAAATGTTATGGGCAAGGTGAACGTTTTTGCGGAAAAACAACAAGGCAGATAGTCGGACGGACGGACAAAAAAAAGCTATATGACCCCAAATCTTCGACTACAGGGGTAAAGTAAAAAGAAAAGTAAAGGAAATGGGTCTATATACGTAATTTAAAATACATGTATAAAATATAACCAGGGGATGTAGGGAACCTTGTAACAAGTTAAACCACAGGAGGAATAGGGGACTTGTAGTTAGAGCAACAAAGCTTTTCAACAAAATAACAACTGGAAAAGGGGGCTAAGTAACAAGTGACAACCATCAGGGGAATAATGGGCTTTGTAATGAGTAACAGCTAATAACAAAGGGAGCAGAGGCCTAGTAACAAGTAACAAACAAAAATGGAATAGGAAACTTAAAAGAGTTATATCATGTCTTCAACAATCTGTTGGAATTCCCAACTGGGTACTAATTGTGCCCCATTATTAGAAGGTCTCTCTATTTTTTATATTAATTTGAAATTATTCAAAATCTTCCACATGAAATTTGACAACTTTAAAGGTATATCGACTACGCTTATCAATTAACAATATTCATTTTCATTACTACGTTGATTCGATATATTCCTTTGAACTTGAAATAAAAGACACCACAGAGTCTGACTCATCTGTTTCAATTCTATATATTGTAATATAAAAAAGACATTAATGACAAACTAACAACAAAACGTATGATAAAAATGATGACCAACTTTTCCATTGCCAACATCCCTTATTTAGCAATATTGATTATGTAGTAATATATCATTATTACCTGCATATGGAATTTGTGTTTCCCAGTTGATTCGATACGCAAAAGCATGCAACACATACGAACAATTTTTAAAACAAAACAAGCTATTGACAAATAACTTGATGATACAAGGATATCAACTGTCCCATAAGTGTCAACATTTCGCGAAGTCTATGGTCAATAGAGTCGAGTGTTGACTGACGTTTTTCATACAAATTGTATGGCATATATTTTCACATTGAATTGTCTAGGATTTTTCCGTTTGTCCGATCATAACAAGGAGCACACGGCGTATATGACCGATCGGCAGGGGATGCTAACTCCTCTATTGCACCTGATCCAACTTCTGATGTTTTTTAGAAGCCCGTGCTTGCTTGCTCTGCTTCCAATTTTTCCAATTTTTTTTTTCCAATGTACTACTGATCTAGTTTGATTATTGTTCGTTATTTTCATACTTTATCTACTTTTCTCAACCAAATAACAAAAGAGTAAGGGAATTTGTAACAAGAAACAACCACGTTTCTCAACAAATTAACAAGGGGACAGGAGCCCAGTAACAAGAAACAACCAAAAGTGGAATAGGGGACCTTGTATGCTCATCGACACTATAACAAGGGGAACAGCGGTTTAGTATCAAGTAATACATCAAAAGGATAGGGAAGTGTAACGAGGCCCACGCTTCTCAACAAAATAACAAGGGGAACAAGGGCTAGTAACAATCTTAAGGGGAACAAAGGCTTGTAACAATCACAAAGGGAATAGGGTACTTTAATGAGTAATAACTGAGATCCCCAAAAAATTACAAGAGGAAAAGATGGACTAGTAACAAATAACAACTACAAGAGGAATAGGGGACGTTGTAACGAGGAACAACTTTACTTCTCAGCAAAATAATAAAAGAATAAGGGACCATGTAACTATTGCAATTAACAACAAGAGGGAATATGGGACTTTATAATGAGTAACTAAGACATTCCTCAGAAAATGAACAAGAGGGTACAGGGCCTCGTAACAGGAAATCTACCAAGAAATAATTAACCGCGCTTCTCAACAAAATAGCAATAGGAGTAGGAAACCTTTCAACAGGTATGTCCTAATTACTAACAATGTTATTGATACGTATTAGCTTAAAATATGTTCAATTGTAATCTTTTTGTTCATTACTTTCCTAATCAAAAGTTAAGTTAATGTTTTACATGTAAATAAAGTTAGACTGTAAAATTGTTCTCAAATTAACATCATATCCCACCATATCGCACTGCTTAACCCCCTTCCTTTTTTTTTATTTTTGAAATGTGAGCTGTGAAGAAGGGGGGGGGGGTGTTAAAAGGATCAACAAACAAATTAATAAAACATCATATACCTTTAGGAAAATAGGTGATATCATACTGTAATATTTAACAATTGCAAAGCAGACTAATATTGTCAATTAGAAAATTATTTAAGTATTAGTTTTCTGCTTTCTCCTCTTTCTCTCGCACAGCTGTTTCCTATTTTACGTAAACACTTATAAAAGAGCAGTAAAATATATAACATTTTTATAAATAATGACAGGTAAGATGTGAATATTAATAACCTAACCAAACACTTAGGATCATGTTGTTTTTCATTTCTGTACTGTTCCCATAGAAACCTTGCTAAATATCGATATATCTCGCTTTTTATATACAAGAATTTTCAGAACACAATATCCAGTGAAATAATTAAAAACGCATAATTGCTAAACTGTAAGAACATATTGATTTCAGGATTATCGTTGGACGTAACTTGCAGTTACAACACCAAGGGGAAAACTTGCAGCTGATGAATCCTTAGGCATGGTTTGAAAAAGTTTAAGTATGTGGAGTGGGGACATCATGCCTGACAACATATACCAACACCATCAGGACAGTCCGCTATTTTTTATCTTCTCTATTGCCTATTTGGTGGCTGCCTTGGGTAACGTTTTGGGATTTTTTGTTTTGATAAAATGTAAGAAGCTTCCCTTACAAATCAAAGTCCTATCCATAAATATGACAGTTCCGGACTTTCTTCTTGGAAGTGCTACCGGCATAGCGTACGGTTTTCAGTATGCATATCCCATTGCCAAAGAAGGAGAAGTGATTTGCCATGCCATCTTTGACACATTAACAACTCTGTCTATTCTAAATATAACAGCCTTTGGAGTGGATCGTTTTCTGAGTTTAAAGTTTGCGTTGAAATACCAGCTATACACAACGAAGGAGAGAATGGTAGCAATCTGTGTGGGACTTTGGATTTTCAGTATAGCTTCCGCTGTGATCATTCAGTTGTTCAAGTCTGACGCCTTGTTGTTTAAAATTGTTCTGCGTAGTGTATTTTTATCCCTGTATGTGTTTTCTTACTTGATGATTTTGTCAATCTACCGAAAACACAATAGAGAAATTAATGATCTCCAATCCTTGTCGGCTTCTAGAATAATCCACGACCAAATGGTCTTCAGTCGAAAAATTGTCCTCATAACGGGACCACATTTTCTGCTATACTTACTGGCGATCATCGTTCACGTGTTTATGTTTTTCAAAGAGAACATAGGAATATCGCAGATGGAATTGGTTGTTTTAAGTATTACATTAATCACAATCTTCATAAACCCAATTCTGTACATCTGGCGGTTTCGCGAGTGCAGAATTCAACTTCTCTTAATGCTTTGTATCTGCAGTAGAACAAGACACGAGAACCTGATGAAGGAGAGAAACATTTTATATCAACCTTTTCTGGAAGTTCAACCTAAGGAAACAACCGAAAAAACACTTATAGTATCCACACACATGTAAGCCTCTTATCTGTGTGAAATTAATTTTCACTTAAAATGATGATAATGACAATACGTTCGAATTTGTATCTCTGTTAAATACAAAAATATTTATAGTTATTATTATCTTGTGATTTCTAAACTGTTTTCAAAATGTCTAAAGAGATATAACCACCGAATATGATATCAAAAATCAACTGATATCCAATAGGAATCCCAAGTTATTTTTACATATGCATGGTAATGTACCTCAATTTCTTGCGGGGAAACTGGTTAAAGTAGCAATGCTTCCAATAACAAATTCTTGGGGAAAATTATATACATGTATGTTATTGAGGAACGCCTCATCTGACCTTAAGTTTCCATTTGATTTTTTTTTATTGATGAATTATGTTTTATTTAAAAACTGTATGGCTTGATTTATAAATAAATTCGTAAGCGTTAAAACTAAGGACATTTTAAATTTCCTTTTTTGTTTTCAATTTTGGTAATTATTTTTATCGCATTGATATTGTAGAATGAAAATCAACATCAGTGTGACCTTGTTTAGAACGGATAGATCCAATATTAATTTTAACAAGAAATGTCAAGAGAAAAACAACACAAACAAAATTCTCTTGTTAGAATGAGAATATTTTCTCTGAATTTTCCCCTCGTTCAGATTCTATTTTTTGAGAATAATTTTAGAAAATTAATTTTTAGTAAACCTTTACATAAAGCCCCTCTTTGTATTGATTGAGATAAATAAATTATGAATAAAATCTTTGGTTTTATTCACTTCATTTGTAAAAAATAAATATCTAAAAACAAGAATAAAGCTGCTTGACATATTTTTAGAATTTATGACAAACAACAATAAAAGTTTTTTTTATTCATTCAAAATATCGTATCAATTTAAATGCATACTTATCAGAGTAATTTACATTTGGACATTACAAACTTGAATTTGGTTTCTAAACCACATCAAATATAAAATCTAAATTTAAGTTATATTTTCAAGCCAAAAATTCCTGTTTTTTTTTCTTTCTTTCTTTTTTTTTTTTGGAGATAATTGACCTACTCTTTTACAATGTAAAACATGATAAAATACTGATAATGTGAAACAAAATATGACACTAAATATAAAGCTGATAATATACTGATAATTGCAAAATCCATTATCAGTTGTTTTGAAATGGGATCACCACCAGATTTTATAGGTCTCGCGACAACTGGTAGTACCATTAAAATCAATATACCTGCTGAAGAATAATTGTACATAAGATTGTTTTTCTACTTTAGCGCAGAAGTAAATTCGAATCCTCATTAAAATTTTTAACATGCCATGTCAGAAAATTTTGCAAAACGGTTTAGAGGGCTTGCGTATCACTGATATTACTCTGATATTACTCACAAGCCTTTCTATGTACAAAGAAGAAGATAGTTACATATTTAATTGCATATGTAAGAAATATGGTCCTCTCATGATTATTATTATCAATTTTTAGCATCTATCCTTTTTTTCAAAATCACTATTTATCTATTAAGATTTGTAAATGAGATGAGCACAAACGAAAGCCAGTTAGAAAACTGGAAACACAACAGAGTATAAATTGCTTACATGGTTTCTACGTCAGACACATATTAAGGAGATAATTTCCGTTATTTTGTATACTGTATATTTTGATAGCGAGGAATTTTTCACCAAAGTAAAAGTAACACATACTTAGAACAAATATTTTTCTACAAAAAAGCAAGGTTAAAAAGTCAGACTTAAATACTAGATTATGTAGATTCAGTATTTTGACGTTACGGCTCTCGGGACCAGAGTAAGGTTCAATACTAGGTTATGTAGATTCAGTATTTTGACGTTACGGCTCTCGGGACCAGAGTAAGGTTAATTACTAGGTTATGTAGATTCAGTATTTTGACGTTACGGCTCTCGGGACCAGAGTAAGGTTAAATACTAGGTTATGTAGATTCAGTATTTTGACGTTACGGCTCTCGGGACCAGAGTAAGGTTCAATACTAGGTTATGTAGATTCAGTATTTTGACGTTACGGCTCTCGGGACCAGAGTAAGGTTAATTACTAGGTTATGTAGATTCAATATTTTGACGTTACGGCTCTCGGGACCAGAGTAAGGTTAAATACTAGGTTATGTAGATTCAGTATTTTGACGTTACGGCTCTCGGGACCAGAGTAAGGTAGAAGATAAATGTGATTCAGGTGAGCGTAGTGATCCATGGTGTCTTCTTTTGATGACTTTCTGTTTGATGGCTTTTTGGTCTTTATGCCAATCTTTTTATCTTTAAAAAATCATAGAAGAGATTTCAGTGAAAAATTTTGGAAAAGAGGGCCTGCATTTGGAGAGATGGAATAGCTCCCTGGATTGGCTAAATACAATAAATGCGTCTTTCTGAACGTGCTTAGAAACTATATACAATATAATTACGTTTTATCAAAGTGTAAATGTATGGTTTAGCCAAACATATCACGAAAAACAAACACTAAAATACAAATTTAATTTAAACCTTAAAAAAGGTAAGTCCTCCCACATCAACTATAAATGTATAAAGTGTTTACTTTGATTCTACATTTACAGTTGTAATAGGAGTATAATTGTTATTTAAATGACTCTCAATTTAATTTGTTCTATTTTTAAATCAATTGTTGCAACAACGCTGTATTGCAAAGAAAAAAAATTATCTGGATCTGGAATAATAACCTTCTTATATCATATAATTGCAATATACTCTAAAATACGTCGGTAAATGGTACACGCCTAATATTTCTTTCGATCTTGTATACTTATGTGTAATTTATTTCATTATGTTGGACAATAACTTACAGTTTATATAATGTATATAACTTCAAGAATACTAGTACTTTGTTGGTCTTCGCAAAACATACATCTTGCAATATTATACCCCAAAATAGAAATTTGAAAGAGAATGTTGCATAAAAAAATAAGCTAATGTAACAATTTTGAACTTCACGATAATCCGAGGGATTATCAAAAGATTTGTAGACTAACGCCATAAAATTAAAACTGCATGTGTTCATTATTGATTTTTTTTTACACATTTAGTTACATCATCTTTTCTATCTATAGAATGTAAATAATAAGTTTTATTTTTCACAAATTGTTGATGTTTCTATAACAATGGATTAATTGTATCAGATGTATCTTAAAAACTCGCATTAAGCGATTGAAGGACAATATGAAAACCATCTACCCGTTTGTGCTTAATAATTCAGAACTGAAAAAAGAATAAGATATAGACTACACAATCAGTATGTACTGGTCCCAGCTGACAAAGCAGGTAACAGCATTGTCTTTCTTTGTAATGCTCATTGTTTTAATTGTATTTTAGAAGAACTGGCCATGGGATTTAATTCTACAAGTGGAAATCCAACTTATAGTCATAGCTCCATTTCTAAGCAGGAAATTCTTCAAAATTATATGTCAGTTTGAATATTTTCAATATTCCCAACAACCAAAATGAATTTGAATTGTAATATTTATATTGGATTCCAAAACTTCATAAAAATCCTTACAAAGATACATTAGCGGGTTCCAGTAAATGTTCTACCAAGCCTCTTTCTTTACTCCTCACTAAAATATTAACAAAAGTGAAGGAGAAACTTCAGGAGTACTGAGCAACAATATATTTGAGAAGTGGTGTAAATCAGATATGTATACTTAAAAATTCCAAGGAACTTTTGGAAAATTTGAAATCACAAAATTTTACCAAAATCAATAACATAAAAACTTTTCAACTCTGTATACAACCATTCCCCGAAATAAAATAATGTCCAGGCTTTTTTAAATGATTGACAGATGCTTTTTTCAATGAAAATGGAACTCGTAAATATACTTACCTTGTCATTGGTCATTTGCAAAATTATTTTGTTAAAAACATTCTGATTGTACACACAAGTACTCTGAAGCTGACATTAAGATACTTGAGTTTCTGATTGACAATATCTATGTGGATTTTGGAGACCAGGTATTCCAACAATTTGTTGGAATTCCCATGGGTACCAATTGCGCCCCGTTGTTAGCAGACCAATATTTGTATTTATATGAAGCAGAATTTATTCAAAATCTTATAAATGAGAAAAAGAAATCTCTTGCTGTGGCCTTCAACTCGACATTTAGATATATCGACGACGCATTATCAGTTATTATTTCCATTCATATGTCGACACGATATATCCCAGTGCGCTTGAAATAAAAGATACCACAGAGTCTGGCACATTTGTTTCATATTTGAATATTTTCCTGGAAAAAGACGTTAATGGTAATCTGACAACAAAGCTTCATGATAAACGTGATGACTTTAACTTTTCAATCGTCAAGAGCATGCTCTTTCTAAAACGAGGTAAGTTATTGACAAAGAAGTTTATTAAACAAGAATATCAACATCTCTTCAAAGTTCTATGGTCGATACAATTTCCTTGTCAGCAAATACAATCTATTATCAGGGCATATGCTGACTGACGTTTTTCATACTTATTGTTAGGCTATTATTAACACACTGAATTGTCGATGGATTTTTCCGTTATTTCCGGGATCCCGATCATGACAAGGAGCACACGACGGGTTTGACCGGTCGGCAGGGGATGCTCACTCCTCCTTGGCACCTGATTCAATCTCTGGTGTTCTTTGGAGGTCCATGTTTGCTCTGCTCCAAAATTTGTATTGTTTTAATGGACTTTGAGCTTGAATACTGTCAGATATCTCATATTTCATTATAGATCTTGTAAGCAACCGCTACATATTATTAATTTTATCACATCAGTCCACGAACTTTTCGATAACCCCTCATATGGTGACAGAATCACTCTTTTGTTTTAAATGTTTCATAGCTTTCATCTGATTAAACCATACAGTTTAAATTGTGATTGTTTGTACATTTTTTAGTCAGATTTGAATTTCATGAATTCATACTAAGAGGTATGCAATTCAAGAGATGATATTTTTAAAAGTATCTAAATTTCCACATTTTAATCAATTTTCATTAAATTAGATAAATTT